AGCCTATTTTCATAATTAATTTTCTCTCCCTTTGAAACAGCTATCTTGGTAAGAATACAGTCCACAGGTACATGTGATACAGTGTAAAGAGTAGTGTATGTTGGTGTCTTTGTGATATACAGTAGCAGGAATCTGTTTGTGGGATATAAATGTAGTGTTCTGTAGGTGGAGGATGTTTCAGTTTGATTTTCACTAGAGGAGAAATGCCAACAGGCCCACCTGAAGAGGTGTTATGGAACCAGTTAAAACAACCTGAGTTGATGTATGTATTCCAGTCCACTCTCACTTTAAAGCACTTGTTTTATCAACTGTGTACTCAAGGAAAAATATCACAAAATTTGCTCTATTTATCCCATATATATTTACTCCAATTAAATTAAGCACTTTCTAGAGTACTACTTTTTCGTTAAACTATTTTTTCTCTGAAGTGAATTTAGCTAAAATAACTTTCACTGCTCTCACTCAGATCTCCACCAAAGAGTTCTACAGTGAATGTGGTAACTCCATGCAGCTCCCACCCCTATACATGTGGTAAGCGTACAACACAGGAAATCACTGTGGGTTTGCACCCTTGAGGTCACCTGAACAACAGAAGATCAGAACAAGCAGACTGCACACAAGCAGCAGCCCTCTTCCCTCTGTCTCCCCCTCCTGAACAGCCTGCGGCCTCAGGCCAGCAGCCACCTAATTGCTGGGGAGAGGGAGTGCTTCCCTACCTCATTGCCTTGGATGATGTGATAGATCTGCCTCAGGTAGTCGCTGCCACCTGCTTTGTGGCAGACCTCCAGCAGCATCAGGCCTATTTTCTGCTCAGTCAGTTCAGCCGCAGCGACTCCGCTCTCCCTTCCTCGCTCAAATACACTGACAGAGAAACAGAGATGGGAAAAGGAGGAGATGGGAGAAAAAAACACAAAGAGAGAGAAAACACAGAGTGAGGCAAAGAGAAAGGAGAGGAAACAGGAAGAGGGAGCGTGTCAGCTTGTATCTCTATAACACCTCTGGCAGAGGAAGTATTTTCTAGTTTGGAGAAGAACTTGGGATACAATTTGTAATTTGTTCTACACAAGAAAATTAACTGAGACACGACTCCTGAGTTTAGAATTAATGATTTTTTAGTATTTAGAATATCATTCACTCCAGAGGGCAAATTAACTTAAAATTCTAGGCATGGAAGGACATTTTTTCTCAACTAAACTGTCTAAAAATGGCACAGTCCAGCCAAGGCTAATGCTGAAAAAGAGTGAGAACTACAGAGAAATGGCTGAGAGTTAGACAAAATCATTTTTGCTGTTTTCATTACCATTCATGAGATACATAGGGGGATTTTTAGCAAAGGATGCTGGTGCACTAAAAATGATTGGTGTATGTGTTCTTAAGCGTGTATGTGTGTGTGTAATTGTGTGTCAAGGTCCTCATGCATGTACAGTCCCCAACCCTGGCAGACGCCTGCATCATTTTCCTGCCCTTCCTGTATGGATGGATATCACACTACCGTCCATCAAACCTTCTCCTTCACATACACTTCCTGTCATTGTTCTCCCTCTCTCTCCCTTCCCCTTTGTAATTATAAGGTGGCAGAAGCGGTGTCGCCTGTCAGCCAGCCATTGGCTGCTTGACATTGAGAGTGGCAAAGGAAGAGGAGTCCCCTCTCGTCCATGTACATCCCCTCATTCTTTTGCCTGGCGGCCCGACGGTGGTGTTGTCGGCGATGGTGGCTGTGCACCCGTGTCAGCACCTGCGCTGTATCCTTTCCTGTCCATCACTGTGCAGGTGAAGCAGATGATTGGATTCAGTCAGCGGGGTGATTAATGAGGGCCCCTCCGGATTTGGGACAGCCTATCAATCATGTCATTAGGGCCAATGTGCCCTGAAAGAGGCAGACCTCCGCCAAGGAATAACTGCATTCATCTTCATCTGTGTATGCATCCCGTCAGCCCAGCCAGGGTCACCATGATGGAGAACAATAATCTTCTCCTCTACAAATTACTTTGCAAAGACAAGGTGGGTGGCGTGGGGAGGGGGGTTACAGTTGGGAAAGAAAGGAGGGAAAGTGGGATGAGGGAACATAGGTGGGAGGGCTTGCAAGGGGCAAATGCTCTTTTTTGAGTGGTTTACTCAGTGTGTGTGTGTGTGTGTGTCTGTGAGAGAGAGATGCCAGTTAGTGGAGTGCCAGTTGTTTTTAGAGTTATTACATACCCCACTCTCTCTCTCTCTCATTTTTCTTTCTCTCTCTTTCACTCTCTCTTTCTCTCCCTCTCTCTCTCTGACACTGTATTCTGATTGTTTACAAGCCAGGCGTCACTTCCCTGTGAAGGTTAGTTTAATGAATAGTAATGATCCCACTGAATGCCTCCGACAGGTGATACATAATCACTCTTCTTTCACTTTTCCACTCAACCCCCTCTCCAACCTCCACCCCGATCCCTGTTTCTTCTCTTTTTTTCCTCCCATCTCGTCCCCTCTTCCTGTCACTGAGCAGACAGAATTTCCTAGAACTGGCCATAATGTACTCAGTCTTTTTTTTAATCTAATTTTTTTTTTTTTTTTAATTGTACATGTTGTGTTACAGCACTGAATCACCTTTTTATGAGGATGGATGCATCCAGAGTTTGTTATGATGAAGTGAGCGACCAGAGGCGCAATTTCTGGGAACAAGCTACAAACGGCGAGCCAAAGGTCACAGATCAGCCCAAAGTGAAAGCTGTTTTCCCATCAATCCAGTCTGCAGTCCATTCAGTCAGACGCCATGTCCATCATTTACCACAACAAACACATCTGGGATTCATTGATCTTAGTCATAAGACTTTTCAATGAAAAACGATCTCAATGATACGATACATCAGAATTTGAATGCTCAATTAAAAAAAGCATATCTAAGCTGCATTCTTTTTCATTGTTTTATTCAGCTTCTATATTGAATGTCACGCAGCAACATCAGTCAGTTTGATCAGTTTTACCCTCCTCCTTCATCAAACTATCAGCCCTTAATCTCCATCTTACTATTGATACATCACTAAAATTATGTATTGGGAAATTCATTTTATAAAAAGCGTTTTTTTACGATCAAAATTATCTGAATAAAATCATATCTAATTTTTTGTTGAAGGTGCACATGAATAATCAATACCATCTGAGACTAATGATGGATAATGCATATATTGCACTTTCCTGGATGCATGAAAAACATAATATAATATAAACTACATCAATACCATTCTGACCTTGACCTCTTGCTAAATCTTTGCAGTTGACCTCTCACCTGCAGCTGTCTGAGCAGAGCTTGCGGGCCTTTTGTAGCTGCATGTTTGTCCACTTGGGTCTTTTTTCCTCCAGAGCCTGTAGCACTTTGTGAACTGTGGGCTTAGGAACACCCTGTCAGACAAACAGCAGACCATTAAGGTAAATGAGTCAGATGGTTGATGGCTTATTGGAGGCATACATTTTATCAACCACTGATGTGATAAAATAATGGTATCAGGATTTTCAAACATACTATATATACAAATGTATAGTTTCAGCTAGCTTCTAACAAGTGACACCACAGCAGCCCGGTATAATGCTCTACTTTTGTAAACAAACTCCCTAATTATTATTAATATTATTGTTACTTACATTATCCTAAACTCTTACCTTCTGTTGAATGCCCATGACAGCCTGTAGGCACTCAGCCAGCAGGGACAGGGGCTCTCTTGCCCCGCGATCCAGGGCCAGACCACCGATTTGTTTTAGTGTGTGTGGGTCCTCCAGGCCCTGGATCAGACAGCCTAGCAGGGCCCAGAGTAACAGGCCTACTAAGCGCAGCTGCCGGGTGTGCTGGGAAAGTTGCTTCTCTGCCACTTGGAAGAGGTAGCGGATGGGGAGAGGCACGGATGCTACAGCCAAGGGCAGGTTGGTGAAAATGAAGGACAAGGCTTGAATAGTTACAGATATAACATCTGGGGGGAAAAAAGAGGTGTTAGTTTTTGGAAAAACACACCTTAAAGTTATTTTACTCACTTGAAAATGCCACTTGAAAATGTGTACAAGTCTATGCGTACTCTTAGTGGCAGTCTCCTTTCCCCTGGTTTCCAGTGGTGTGTAGTTCCACTCCTTTGGTATTTTAGCCAGGACACTCTCCGGTACATTCTGCTTGAACGAAGCTCCACTGGGCTCCTCTGTGGTCTGCAAACTCGTCACCATGGAGACCAGATGTACCAGGAGGTTGTTGGTAGACTTGGTGACTAAGGTCCGAACACATCGGACCACTACAGGTGCTGTGTGAGTTGTGTCTGATAAAAATTGTAAATGTTTGTAGCAGTTAAAGAAGGGTGGCTGAAGGTAGGTAGACCTATAGTACAAAAAAGTCAATCAATGCACAATAAAAAAATAGGGCCCTAAACTGTATGTAAGAGCTAGATGTACAGTTTAATACTACTCTATTAAAATACTGTTCCATTACTATACTAAGTTTTAAATCATAAAAGCTTTAGATTTCTAACTCGACCCACAGATGCCATACTACTGACATAAAGGAAAGGTAGATGAAATGGTATGATTGCTACCAAATTAGAGTGAGATAAATTTAATATTACAGATATTGTGCGATTGGGCTTTTCAAATAGTCGACCTAGTCATTATAGCACACTCACTGTGTCAAAAATGACTCCACTTTTCAAACAATGGGAAAATACAGAGACATGAATAGCTTGCTCATCCACAGAGCACGATGGTATTCTGTTGAAATATCTACAGTTAAAGCAAGTAATGTCAAGTTAAATTCAGATGTTCTCGATCAAACCCAGGTGGCCTGACAGAAGAAATCTTACTACCTTCTCCAGGTGCACTATGTCTTTCATTGCTCTGCCCTTTCATATCTTGCTCATATTGATAGCAGAGCAGCTACAGCATGAAGTTGTATGGCACCCATAAACTTCCTACAGCGTCGGCTGTAAAACCAAAGGCTACAACAGAAAGATATAGTACTGTGACGGCACTAGAAGTGCACTGAAATCTCCTGGGACACCTAACAAATGTGTGACCTCAGACCCATTGAAAAAGAGGAGAGCGGAACAGAAAATGATATAGCTTTTCGAGGGAGAAGCGTTCTGTGGCAGGTGAGACCTAGACCTATTTTTCAAAGTCACTTGGTTCTCAGACTTTATACCGCCCGCTACTGTATTGACTGGTGTATTGATTCGAAACAACCTGCTACTGTGTGATGAAACATTACTGTAAGTGGAGAAATAGTGAAGTTCTCAATGTAATCTATGAAAGTTAACTCAGTGAACAGTTTAAATAGAAATGGGGGCACTTGGGGTATCCTGTAACCAAAATTATAATACAAAGATTTGGCACAGTCCAATAATTAAACTAATTACCCTGTGAGGATAAATGATGATTGGATGACATTGAGAATTTCTTTCCCTCTGTCGACCCCTCCCTTGCTCCATCTTCATCCAAATACTCTTCTCCAATCACCCTAATTTATGCTACAATAATTACCACTCAACCAGGATATAAAAATCACCACCAAAAAGAGCTCCATACTCCACAGGAGTTCTGATTAAGCTCTGTATCAAAGCTTGTGCAAAAGAGAGGCAGAAAGGAAGAGTTGGGGAATAGTTGTAATCTCTGTAACAGTCTATTAGGAAGTATACAGGAAGTCATGCTTTAGCTCACATGCATGGACTGTCAACCATTTAACCTTATATTGAGAAACACACAATATATTTTGAGAAAACTTGGTCAACTCTCTAAATCAGTTGCTGACATTCATTTCCTGTTATCCAAGCATGAAACAGTTGTCTTAATATCTTGAGAGGTGATAGATTAAACAATCAGTTTTCCATTTAACATGAAATGAGAACGGCACTGACTTGTTATTTTATAATCACTTCATTTTGTAGTATAAAATAGACATACAGTGACCTGCATTATAAACCAAACAGCTAAAAGCTAATGAACAATGAACATATGAAAAATGAAAGTTGCTCTCCTGCAGTAAGAAGATATTTTTGTCCCAATGAATAAACACATTATTATAATACCATTTAAGTGTGAAATTCACAATACTATTTAAAACCACACAATGTAGGTTAGTGCAGTACTATGGCTTTCAATAGTACTATAGCTTCTGGGAATGCACTGTATATCAACCTTCACATTAATGTAATGCCAGTCTGTGGTAATGACTTCTGAACTACAACATTATACAGCAGACGGTTATTACTTTACCTGCCAGTGTGTAGAGATGTTCCCATATTTGTGCCCTTTCGAGATATGGTTGAAGGGCCTGAGTCAAAGCTTTGGGAACGCTGTTCAGGCAACTGAAAAGGTTGAACAATGCGACTATGAAGTCATCTCCTGCCTTGCAGCTCTCTGTGGACATATCTAAACAGCTTTCCAGGCAAAAATCTGGAAAAAATAGTCATTTTGATTCAGACACTTCAGTGAACAATACAAATAAATGTGTAGGCACCCAAAATGTCAATGAATTTATGACATCTTGATAGTCAGGGAAACTTGACACAAGCACACAAACAACAAGATAAACAAAGATATGAAAGGGCTAACTCATACGCAAACATACATCCAGTTAGGGGTGTGAAGGTGAGCATAAAATGTGACTGTTTTTTGAATTATGATTCAGAAAATATCAACCTTATGGAGGTAGGTATTGAAAGACATAAAACCCTATCCTATGAAACAGCATCTTGATTTCTTTGCACAAAACACATTGGAAAATGTCAAGGCTGCCCAACCTGACACATGTTAACAGAAAGGGTGAACAAAAGGCATTGTGGAATAGAAGGGGAAGAAAAACTCACATCTGTGTTAGATGGAGAAAAAACAGACCAGAAAAAACAGAAAAAGAACCAGATTTCAAAGCCCCCACAGCACATGGAGACAGGAAGTGAAAAGGAAGAGGTTTTGACAGGGTGTCCTTGTGGGGGTTGCTGTCTGAGCACAGGGCTGAGGATGGAGGTGTGTGAGTGTGTAACCCATATGGATGTCTATATACGTGTTTTGTGTGCCTACAAGTGTGTGTGTGTTAAGTTGACAGGGGTTGCTGAGGAAAGGCCCATTGCTCCAGAGGTGGCAGACATCCAGCGGTCTGTCAGTCTGCTGTGTGGGAGATGACAGCTATTTGACTAGGAGAGTGTATGCAACACAGCAGTCAATGAGGGGGCACTGTGACAGAGGGCAGCACCACTTCCTTCTGACTAATGCTGGACTATTTTAAAATGACAGGGCTAAATTAGCTGCTGCATTATAGAGCCAGCAATATCAGCCACCTTAATAACAGGTAGGAAGCACTGCCACCACTCAAAGTCCTGATGAGAACTGAATTTCCCTTATCTCCCTGTCTCCATCTCTAAGTCTCCCTCTTCGTCTCTCGCTCTCGCTTTTTCTTTCACAATAACGCATCTAACACATACACTCCAAAGTGGTCAACCAGCCTGACCTACAATCAGTCTATTAGGCGGTATTATGTGGGTTATGCCGGCATCTTGTTCTCTGTCTGTCTGGTAATTGGTCCTTAAGGAGAGAGTGTTCTGGATATCACTGCTGTGGCTGCGACGGTCCAAGGGAACAGGGGTGACTAACATTAATTTCCACTTGGGGTGCTGGAGAGCATGGCAGGTTAACTAGGTGCCTTTTAATAATGATCCCATTATGGAGCAGCAGATGACTTCAGAAAAACAGATGACAGTGCACTGGCACATCTCTGTGGACTTTCCACTACTGCTGCAGCAGACAATAATTCCAGCGTGTTTGTGTTTCTACGTCGATTTCTCGGTTGGTTTTTCTATTCTTCCTCACTCTCTTTCCCTCCCTCTTTATCTCTAAGCTTATCCAACCTTGATACATAGCCAATAGATACACCTGTTTATCTTCCGGACAACCAGTCAACCAGTCACAAGGGCCCTTTCTGCAGACCTCTGTAATTGGAAGCAGACACGGTGGTGATGATAATAAAAAGACTGTGTGCGTGTGCGTGTGCGTGTGTGCACTAGTGTATCTTCTGATTTAGGGTGAGTTGTGCAAAAGCAAAAACTGTTATTTTAAATGTAGAGGAAGTACTATCCCCCTGCAGACAAATACAAATAGCCAGACATTGGGTAGGTCATTTAATTTGTTAACTACCTCTCTAGCAAGTTAGTGTGCTTTGATAAGGCACATATACTGTACTGTAAACAGCATTTTAGAAACAAATGCACTACACAGTTTAAGAATTTAAGTGTTTGTGTTCTAACAGCAGCTGACTTTAACAATTTCTTTATTGCACTAAATTTAATTCAATTAGATAGAACAGAGTCCAATTGAAGTAATTTGTAACTCACTGTATTATTATCTTTGAGTAAGTTACGCATTCATTTTTTCCAAGAAAGCACCAAGACACGGTATGTACATGTATGTAAAGAAGTGCAGTGGCTGATGGGAAGCATTCAGTCAAGCTGTTCCTTTGGTCTGTCTGCTTCCTGGTTAATTAGCCCGTCACCGTGATAACACACGAGCGTCAGCGCTTCCAGCGCTGATTTACGGCAGCGTGGAGGGAGAAGCATTGCAGAGCCTCTGAGCCAGACTCAGACCAAGCGAGAGAATGAGACAGTGAGAGTTGTTATTAATGAGGTCGCTATAATGTGAATTAATGTGCGAGTGCACAACAGTCTTTAAAGGTTAGACTGTTGCCGGTGCAGAGGGGAGAAGAAGGAAGGGAAAATCTTTAAAGGTCAGCGTGTGTGCTCCGCCTGGGCCTGTTGAGTGTTTATTACTGCTCTCTATTGATTTAGTGATGATGGTGACCAAGGTGAAAATGATGATGAAGGCAAAGATGCTGATGATAACTTCATAAAATGGATAGAGCTCATATAAGGTCTGTATAACTCACTTAGGATCTTTGAGCACCATAATTAAGACACTGGTAAACATCTTCCTACGCACGCCCTACGCTCGACTGTGGATCCAGCATTGTATAAAAGGAAATATAAGAATTAACAAAAATAGCCTCAATTTCCTCCTAAAGGATTGACAGCTAGGTATGCACATTGTTCCATTTAGCAATTTACACATACCAATCTAAGTACGCACAAAAAAAAACAGACATACAAGAGTTTTCCAGGAGTATTCTGGGCAGGTGACAGTCTCTGTACAGCAGCATTCGCAGCAGCAACCTGGGATTGCGTCCTGGGTCAGAGGTCAGCAGCCTCAGCTGACATGCAGAGGCCGTCTGGCCCATAAGGCCATCTCTGAGAGCGGAAAGAAGGAAAACAAAGTTGACAGTTCTGCAGTGTCAGGTGAGTGTACAGATAGCAGTCCATTTAGCAAGAGACAACAAAGGAGGGGAAAAAGCTTCACAAGTGAAAGACAGACACTGAAATCACAGCTGTCTTGGATGACAGTCTGAGAGGAAATAGTGTTGATGCTACAATGGTAACTTCCTTCATTGTCACTCACTCCTGATACGAGCTTAGTCTGCAAATGTCTTCACTCTTGCTTACTTATAGTGTGCACCGGGAAGGAATTAGCTCTAATTTTGGCCAGCTAAAACCAAATTAACATTTGGGAGACAGCCAAATACATGAATATACAGCAGTACCCCCCTCCTACATCTTTTGTATAACCAAGAGGCTGCAGCCAGCTGTGGGTAATGAGCCGTATCCTTGGTGTGTGTAAGTGTGTGTGTGTGTATGTGCACCCCTCATAGCCTATGCTTGTGGTTATGTATGTGTGCAAGTGTGAGACCATGCTGACATGTGTGTGCCTGCATGTTACTTTATACATCTCAATAAAATCTAATGGAGGGAATGGACAGAGTTTGTCTGAAGAGCGAGGGGGTGGGAGGGAGTACAGGGGGTGTCTGCCCAGAAATTAACCATTCTATTTGAGCCAGAAAGCTAGAGCAGGGTGCACCCTGCTGCTTGACTGAGGAAAACTATGCCTCAATCTGACAGTGCAATTTATGATGTCACTAGGACCGCAAATCCAGAAGAAATCCTCTTTTAACTGCTCTGATAAATCTACCCGGCTACAGCGCAGGGTCAGCTTACAGAACTAAGACACACAGATACGTACACGTACACGTACACACACACACACCACACACACACACACACCACACACACACACACACGTGCAAAGGCAAGGAGAAAAATGCAGAGTATGAGTGTGTGCAAATGCAAAAACACACATAAGGCCAGAAAACATAACTTCAGATGCTTTCTTTATAGCCTGTAATGCTGTATGATTTATTTATGTGCTTTGTGGTTTTATTATTGTTTTATTTAATAACCATAACAATGGGTTTTATTTTAATGGGCTGGGGAGAGATGTGGCCACAAAGGCCGAGTCTTAACTGAGGACCTGTGGATCTGGCCCCGGGCCACTGGCAGGCCCCCTGGCACCCTCGCATGCAGGCAGGAGGTGGGAGCAAAGAAATAAAGAGGTCATAAAAATAAACTAATTTCAGCTCTCCAATACTTAGGAGCAGGAGCGCGGGGGTTAGTTTGATTTGTGCTCCATCAGCACGCAATGACATCACCTCTGGCAGTGAGGGAGATGAGAGGGGAGGAGGGTGGATCAAGGGTGAGAGGAGGGGGAGTGATTGAATGCACCATGGAGGTCACAACAGTAACTGGACACACATGTATGCATGTATGTACACATTCAAGCATACACAAGCACATACACACCACTCTGTTGACGCCTCATGTGTAAAGCTCTCAGCAACCATCAACATAAACAAAATCAGTGTCAGCAGCAACGGTAGTTTATTTTTTATTTTTTTTCCTTCTCAGCTTGCATCTGTGTTATATTACTACAGCAACTCAGGCTTGAAGCCCTGAGCAACGGATAAGTCTGGTTATATATCCACACATTCAGTATGTGGTTAGAACTCGCACACACACATATGGTTCTCTATGCAGTGGGAGGAGGTGTGTATGATGGCTTAGCATACCGGTGTGCATGTATGTGAGGTTGTATGTGAACATGCATATGTTTACCTACTGTATGACGGGTGATGGATGGTATGATGGGTGTATTTTACATACCGTATGGCCTGCTCTGTGAAGACATCAGGGTCGATAGCATTTAGCCAGTGGACAACAGGGCTGTCAGGCTGATGTGGCGTGGACTCTTTTGCAGGATCAATAATAAACATCCTGGGGAAAATTGAGATCACACACTGCAATTTTGATATCATTCTGATTAATACATCTTCAATTTACAAAATATACAGTATGGTGGGCATACTTTTTCAACCAAATACATCCTCCTGCATAGTATACTGTTATTTTACTTGTTGGCAGCCGACTCATGTCAAGTATGACATTTAAGACTAAAGATTCCAAAGTCACTGGCAATAGTCTATTAATTAGTTTCATATGAAAAGTGAAAAAAATGGGTGTGCCAAGCTCATATTTTACTTTAACTTATGGTTGAATAAAAAAAACGTACAGTGTATACCTACCTATACAGCAAAGATAGGGGTGCTGTGACAATGACGAGGACTGTCAGGAGTTGCTCACACAGGCTGTGGATATGATATGGCCAGTCTGATCTGCCTGCTATCATGGCAATTGCTGAATAAGGGTTGGAGCGCACCAAGGCCTCAGGACTTTCACACACGCTCCACATAAGCTGCTCCACATACAGCAACACTGCCGTAATGTCACATCTTAGACACAGAGTAAGGAAACAGAGAAGGGCGAATGTATAGATGAAACCAGAAAATATGAGAGACGAGGGAATACGTCAGAACACATAAAGAGAGAGAAAGAGAAAGGCCGTGTCATGTTAAGGAACATCCCTGTCTTCAAAGGCTCACATCCATCATTACATCATGACATAACAGCCTCATTGTGCAGCCAGTCAGATAACAACCTTCTGGTGATTTTATTGTTGGAAAGTTAAGTGTACTACAGGCTTTGGATTTCACTATAAAAGTCATTGCTTTTACTTTTAAACGCCCCTAAATCTGTTTCCTCAATTGGTTGTGGAGAGCTGCTCATCATCTCTCATCTCCTCATTCTGGGTCTTCTCATGGCCTAAATCGTTATAAGACACACCCAGGGATGGACTGAGGTAGCATAAAAGTACCCATGTGAGTGCTATACACATAGGAAACTTTGAGAAGCTTTGAAAAGCCATCTGTTTAGGCTAGGCTTACACTTTACAACTGTCTCTCCAGAAACACAAGCATCTCCAAGCAACATAAACCAGGCTTAGTGCTGACATCCTGCAGTGCTACACATGTATAATGCACTTTGTCTTTGTCACTCTTCCATCATCTTACTGTGTGTCAACCTGTTCATTGTCATCACTCAGCTGTTAGAAGGCAAAAGACAAAAAAAAGAGCATGGAATAGATGACCCCCTGAGCCTGTACAGAGAGTGTGCCGATGATGTGCTAACACTACGTTCAGACCTCCACCACCAGACCCAAAGGAGCTGAGAGAAAGTAGGGCAACAGTGAGACAATTTAGGGCTTTGACTAGGAGTTCTAATATAATTTAGTCAGATCAATACTTCAAGTGTTTAAACAATGGGTAAGAACACAAATTGCAGTGTAGGACTAGATTTCTCAAGTGAACATAACTGATGCCAGTATGGTACTTGATAGAGTACCTGATTTGCAGGTGTCTCTTGTATGAAGGACGAGCCCTGGCATATCTTTGCACCAGCAGCTGTAAAGTCTCTGACAGCACCTGGCCGAGCACTTCTTTCGCCAAGTCTGCCGGAAGGACCGACCACAGGTCTCTACGGAGCCCACACAGGAAGTAGAACCACATCTGCACTGAGAAGGAACAGCGCTCACCCTAAGAAAGTGGTGGATGAGAGGGAGGGGGTTGCAGATGAAGATATGGATATTAACAGTGAAGCAAAAACAGAGAAGAGGAAAAGAAGATAAAAACAGAAGGAGAGAAAGAGAGAGTGAGAAAGATAACATGAAGGAGAAGAAAGAGAGAGACAGAGACAGAGGCAGGTCTGTCAACACCAGGATGTCTCAGTGGTCACGCCACCTGCACTCTGCACCTGGGTTTCTTCCCCCACTGGGATTTTAGACTGCTTTAAAGTCCTGAACTGGAGAACACATCACAACAGGCACACACATACACGCTCACACGTACAGATAGAGAGAGAGGCGGGGAGAAATTGAGAACTCTGAATGAAGTGAGTGAAGACAAGTGAGAGTGAGAAGAAAGAAAGACAGAGAGGGGAGGACTGATGGAGAAAAATATATTATTGTCCTGGCATTAGAAAGGACATAGAATAATTCATTCAATAAACCTCCCTGTTCCTCTGAACTCCTCATATTTAACCTCCAACAAAAAACTGCTCCAGTGGATGGTTTGTGTGGGGCAGAAATACTGACACATTCAAAACTCCCCAACTTCCTCCACTCTTCAACTCATTATGTCCCTCTATCCCTTTTCATTTTCTTCCCACTTCACCTCATCTATCTACTATTTTACTTCTCTCCTTCCTCTCCTCCCTGGAGCCAGTCATTTAGGGATCGGGGGTTGATGGGGAGCGTGACGGAGCTCTATATCCGGGATTACGCCGCCATCCTCCGCCTGTGGACTCGGCAGAGCAAACGCAGACACAGACGTTGGATCCAAACCAAGTGCGGCCACAGTTACATGTGCGGTTGCACTGTTTTATCCGTTTATTCAAGTCAAACTTTATTTAGCCAGCCAGGTCAGCTATGAACAAAATTCCTATTAGGGTTGACACCCTGGCAACAGTGAGGACTGAATTTGGGATTGAATAAACTTGGAAACTCATAACAGCTTTTCTTTTTCTCAAATTAAATTTAGCATTTGGCTTTGAAGGCTCTGAAGGCTAAATCATGACAAGGAAGGTAGCCAAGGTCATGCTTTGAACTTCTTTCGATTGACTTAACTGACCTTGTGAGCTGTTATTATAGAATATTAAATATTCTCTGCCAACAGCTATTCATGTGCCAATGTATGTAATGCAATGTAAAGTGACAAAAAGAAGAAAAAAACCAAGCTGTAGAAGGTTCTCTCTGTAGCTGCACTGAGCTGTGAAAGACCCAATACACAAGGCTACACATATAACTACACATATACAATAAACATGAAAATATAGATATATACATATAAACCAAATAAAACGCACATCCGGAGATGCTGCTGCACACCCACACGTGCATTCATCTGTACAGATGCACGCTTGAATAAAACCACACACCTGCGCACAGCAGGTCTGTCTGACACCAGTGACCCAGGGAAGGAAGGAGGAACAAAGAGGAAAAAAAAGGAAAAAGCAGAGTAAAGTAAGAAAGAGAGGGGAGGTTTAGATTGGTTTAAGGGCATAAAGTAGGGGAGTTTCAGGGGCCCTATGCTGTTTCCAGACAGTCCCAGTGTAGACTGCAGACTTCAGACAGCTGAATCCCAGGAGCCCCCGGGGCAGCATGGAAGCCACAGATGTTCTCAGGGAGCTCAGAGTAGAAGGCTTGGTTAGAAGAGGGAGAGTGGGAGGTAAAGGTGTATTGTGGGAATGAAAAGAAGAAGCGAGAAAGCTCCAGAGTATAATTCCTGGAGTTCCTCAGAATCTACAAAAAAAGCCTACTAAGACACGTGGCATTAGAATTTCCACTTTTTACAATGAAAGGAATGAAATCAACACCAGACAATTCTGGAGATGTTTTTGCATTTCTGTCTTCTTGATTTGGGGGTAAATGAACAAATATGAATAATAATACTCAAATAGGCTCCATTGATATATATTTAATGCCAGAAACTTAAACGTAGAGACGTTTATGAAGACAATTAAACAATTTTATTTATAAATTATTATAAATTATTTATTGTTAAGAGTTTAGCATGCCATTGTTAATTGTTAGCTAATTCCACGGAAACATGAAGACACTTTACCTCGTAGAAGGGTTTGGGGTCTTCCCAGTAGTGACTCTCTGCGTCTTGAAGAATGCAGGTGGAACAAACCTGCATACAATAGCTTGTCAGCTGGTCTCTCAAAGCCACTACTGTATCTTGGTACTTCTGGATAGGCAGCAGGGTCAGGGGTCTAGGCATAGAGGAAGGAATCAAACCTTCAAAGGTAATGACAGAAAATACATAATCTCTAATACACATGGTATATTAAGAAAAAAGAAAGGGACCACTGGGATCAGGAGTCCAATAGGGCACAGTCTTGTAATCCAGATGCATAATTGACTACTGTATATCAAACAAACATGAGATGAATTAGAGCAGATGAAAGAACTGATGATTTATTCTAAAAGTTCAGGGTGACATTTCATATCCTTTAAATCTGCCTGCCTTGATACTTTCCAGAGAGAGGCAAGAGTTTAACAGGGGTACAGGAGGCTTAAAACCAGGGGGACTGGATGGTGTAGAGAAAGAAAAGTACTTTATGACCGGAGGGGGCACAGTGCAAGTGCAGGTGGAGGGGTGCACAGGGCCAGAGGTGGGACAACAGGAGCACTGAGGGCACCAGCAACGCCTTTAGAGGTGATCTATGGAGAGCAGAGGTTAAGGGGGTATTACGGGGCATAAAAACTCACCAGATGTAGACACAATATGGGTGTCATTACCTCCTGTCAATCATTTAAACCCCTTTTTTTTTTTTACACTCTGGTCCCCCTCCTTTTAATCGCAACTGTACAGTTCCCTTGAAATTTTAAATCTGTCAAAATGTTTCTACTGTTTTGGAAGCACAAATCCATTCCTTCTTCCCCTGTCTATTTTATGAGGAGGACGGGAGTCGAAAATCATATGACAATACATACAGGGTAGCTGGAGTGAGTTGTGATACACTAATTCAGTCTTTGGTACAATTATTTGTACTGCAGTTCAGTTTATTATGTTGAGCAGGCTGTTAGCAGTCTGATTAGGTTATTGTTGAAAAACAGAAGTTTTGACATGACTGTGTGATGTGAACAATGGGTAATGTTGGAAAAAAGATGGGTGCTGCGTACAGGAATGTGGCAGCTGTGAGAGGGTTTGGGTTTCGACATCTGTAATGGGTTGTCTTGACAGTCACACTTCCATTCATGCTCTAAACTAAGTTTGATGTCTGTCTGTCTGTCTGATCATTTTGACATAGTTCTACAGTCACCATCTGAGGGTTTTTACATTGTTCTTATATTGTTACTGTAATTGTTATTGTATGTATTTTTACTGGGGTTATAGAATAAAGTACTGCAACATATTTAGTACAATCCACATTTGTTTATGTGACATATCTCCACGTTTCTGTTGATTAGAGCAGCCAAGATTTAATCAATAACTAATAACTATTTCTGTCATCTAATTGATGCTGGCATGGATGGATAGGTGACTTACACACTAAGATATAGTAAAACACACACATACATAAATTTATAGCAGCCAATAAACTATTCCAATCCCCTGCCATAATACCCACCAAAACATACACACAAAAACCCTCTCCTTACACTTTAGCTGCAGTTGTATTTGAGTCTTTCAGCCTGGCATAGTAGTGCTCCATTCGTTGGTGCACATGAATGCAAGTGGCCAGCAGAGCAGGCAGGTTCTTCAGGGGTGCAGAGGATGGTACCTCCAGGGCCCTCTCCTGCAAACGGCCCAGCATGGCAAATGCTTCCCTGCCACACGCCTCCACAAAGCTTGATCGCACCTCCAGGAGGGAGCTGTCTCTGCAGGCTGCTGCCAAGGGTAGTAAAGCATCCAGCTCAGTCATGATTGCTCCACAGAACTGAAGGGAGAGAGAAGGCAAAGACAAGACAAGATGATCTCAATAACAGAGGGGAAATCTGTCAGTAAGAGGGAAAACAGAAAAAAACATCAGAAAGAGACCTCATTAGATATAAATAATGGAACATTTGCGAGGAGTCATCAGAATGACAAGGATTCAAGACTGAGCATGTGAGTATTACACATGCATTTTTCTCTAACATTTTGCAAGTTGAAAAGCAAACATCAGTGCAAATGTAGAATACAGATGTCTAAAGACATGCCCTCCACATAAACCTTGCTGCTGAACATGCATAATTGGTATCAGGTCAAATAAAACCATTACTTCCGAGGATACAGCAGTACTTGTCTAATTGTATAACGGCCTGCATCATGTTAACCACATTCAAACAGAAATATTACAGTACATACAGTAGGAAGAGGTGGGGGAGTCAGATGTGCTGAGAGGAAAGAAAAAGAAAAGGTCAGGCAAAGGTGAGAATGAGTGAGAGGGAGGGGGAGAGAGCTGTTTCAGCAATGTAAAAGACCTACAGCTTATTCTATAAACTGCCAGAGCAACAAGCAAGACTTATCTCATTTATCCACATTTGTCCTGGAGAATGGCCTATAGGGACAGGGCTGCCTACACCTTTCCCTCTCCAGGGGCCAGGAGACTGGCTGATCAAGGGGCTTTAAAATAGTTGAGTGTGTGTGCTTGCTGAGATACAGATAAGCAGTCCAGGTATCTGCTGGTATTTACCTAAAGCTGAAATCATTAATATTTTGAATGAATTTAATGATAGGATTGTGTCAATCAGAATGGTATACTAAAATTTAATTTTTCTTCTGGCCAAACAGTTTCACAAACATGGCACTAGACTAGCTGTAGTTTGAACTTGTTGGAAGTTAATAACAGTACATGTAAATGGATGTGTGGTGGTGTGGCTCCTGCACAAAATAAATGCATAACATGCATTTACTGTAGCATAATAGTTTAAAATGTTTTCTGCAGACACTTTAAAAAGCAGCATGTACCTATTATTGCACAGACCAAGAAGCACAGCAAGACATGCATGCGCACCTTAATACCACTGCCTCTATTACCTCATGTGCTTCCTATTGACATCACATAGAGAACAGTGAAAGATGATCAGGCAGTTGCAAAGGAGTCACATATGTGTGTGAGTTCACCTCCAAATTTATTCACCTATAGATCTGAGTTATGAGTCAGGAAGATCCTTAAAATGACTTAAAACAAAGCATATTTCCATATTCCCTGGAGCTACAGTACCAAGCCAAGGAAAAAAAAACACCATAACTCAGAAAACTGTATGCCAGTTTAATCAATCAATCACACATAGCATGTATTACTTGCTTATAGAGTCACACACTCTATTACTTGACTTACTGTAGGGGCTGACTGGGAAGTTCGACGTTCTGTCAGATCAGGGCTCCAGTCTATGTACACAATTGACAATCTCACAATCTCTTTACACAATTTTCTCCTTAAAAGCTTCCAGTGGGGTTAAAAGGCCTGGGAACAATGGCCGTTTGGACAATTAAGTCAATATCTGACTGCATGTAGTCATTAGGAGCTTAGCTTTGAGAGAGAAAAAGCAGAGGCAGACACAACACTCAGCATTACCAGGGTGATGGAGAGACCCTGGAGAAGCATCTCATACACATACAGTATCGGCACAAACACACGCACACACACACACACTGAGCAGTCATCCTCACATGCACTCTCACATAAAAACAACTACATACATGCATGCACACTGATGTCAGACTGAAACCATAACTAGCTAAGATCAAAGCCTGGAATCCCACCAGGACTATTGCAGCAAGGTGAAGAGATTGTATAAAGTTTTAAAGTGTTAGGGAGGCCTGTTGGTGTGTGCAGAATTTGGAGTAGACACATAAGTGGAGGACTGAACATGCAGGTGAGAGCTTCAGTGAAGTCTGAATACAGAAAAGGCACTTCTGTTGCTATAATAGAGAGCTAGCATCTAGGTTAGAAGGGCCCACCCAAACAAGAAAAGCTCAATCCCAGGTTCTGACAGGAGGGCGAGTTCCAGCTGTTGAACAGAGAGTATTTGGCATTCAGCGCACAACTGACTGCCAATAAAAAAAGTACACTATCTAAAGTACTCTGATGGATGAACAGTATCATCGCAGCCTGCATATGTATGGTAATACAGACAGTGAAGTGGGTTCAAATGAAAAAAAGTGAGGATTGAGGTATGAACATATGAATATAAATGTGTGAAATATTGATCCATCATAATGCCTTTGAACCAGCCATATTTCATGCTTATGTCTTGTATAGTAATTTGCTCTCTGCTCAAACACTAGGGCATGTGTCAAAAAAGGACAGGGGAGGGGGAAATATATATATAATATCTAACGGTCTCGTCTTGGATGTCTGTCTGGCTCGCTGTTATTGAATGCAAATGCATGCATGTATAACCTTTGGGTTGAAAGGCTCTCATCTTTGAAGCGTTGACCTACACATAAATATGTTGTACAGGTCCTGAGCACAGACAAATTCTGACTCTCGTTAGCAATGAAAGCCACAAATACTGTCAGTGTAAAAGGGCTAGAGGAGAGGGGGAGGAAGAGGAGGAGGAGAGAAGAGGAGAGAGGTGAGGCAGTAATGATAAGAGTCTGTATAGTGTGCAGTATAGTGGAGAGTGGGTAGCAGAAGAGTTGGAGGAAAATGGGGGAATGCGATTCGGAGAAAGTTTCATGGAATTTCAGGAGGAAAAGTTCAGCAATGGTAAAATAGGAAAGAAAATGGAAAGAAGAGAAAGAAAAAAAAAAAGCATTGTGAGATTTTAAATGGAAGTAAGTATATGGCAGTCCAGCCTCCAACACTGGAACATCTTTGAGAGTTTCACACTAAGCCTGGTCTTACATCAGACACTGGTCTTCCTCCTGAGAAAAGTCAATCTCTGGTGACTACTTCACCTCTTCCTGCCATTTCCCAGGCCCTCACTTCTTATCCCTTCTCTCACACTATCCCTTCTTTATCCTGTTCTCTACTCTAGCATCTTGGCCTTTGTGATACATCCCTCCATCATCTGTATACCCTATACTTTACTCTATTCAACACCTTTCACTACACACCATCTAGCCCTCATAATATCACCCATACCGGTTCTTGGTTTCGTGCTGTCTCTCTTTTGTCCTTAGAGTCCTCCCCCTCAAGTAATACTGATGACTCTTCCCAAGGCCCTTTCTGATCCAGGGTGTCAACTGTGTCAGGCCCAAATCATTGGACTCTCTATTATAAAAGGTGCTTTCCACTGGGGCTACAAAAACCATTAATCTCCCTGGGTCTGGGTGATACAATGTGTAGACCTGCATTGTTCAGTCAGGTAGTAATAAAGGAGGATGAACAGGACAGGGGCAGAGGTGTGTACGGAAAAACATGCTCATTCACACGGTGAAAAGTGACAGGTTGGGGTCTTATTCTTAGGTTAATTGTACACACAATTAACATATTCATTAAAACTGTGTGTGTGTGCGTGTGTGTGTGTGTGTAAGAGAGTTTTTATAAATGAAGTATAATGTGAAAAATTCACAGAAATCTATATTAGGGACAGACCAATAGAGGATTAAAAAAATTTATGTCATATATCCTATTTAAAAGGGTTTTTTTGTGTTTATACCCTTTTCCTTGAATTTTCATTTGGAGCTTTTAATCTTAAAGAGATACAAAAAAATAAATGAGAGTAAAAAAAAGTTTACTTTTGCTTGTTATCAAGAGTTCTTGCAGTGTATTAGCAGAACAACAAAATAAAGAATTTTCTCCAACACATAACTCGCTTTCCTTATGTCTGGGGGGAACCATATTTGTATTAAGACCTATGGAGCACTCTAGTTTTAGTTGTATTGTTGCAGGGCATTGAAGTGTTGTTGATCCTCGCTATCAGAGTTTTCACAGGATTTTGTGACATATAATGTATCTAACAACACATCTGATGATGCACTCTAAAGATGATCACACAGCTCTAGTAAGACACTTCACTGTCACTGTCATGTTTCATCATTTATAAATGCTCTCCAGGCTGCAGACTTTTGTGCTTCTAGCTGTGCTAGTGGCCATTTACAGAGTGGTGTGCCTTTCTGTAGTAAAGCATCTTTGGGCATTCTCTATTATCTGTGGGCACTGTGAAAAGAACTGCTTGAAGCACAATTTTATTTCAATAGCTGCAGTAAGTCACAAGGTAATTCAATGATAACAACATGAGAGAAATATAGTGTTTGAGGCATGAAATTTAATGCTGTAAAATAATTTAGTTATTAAGTAAGCTCTACTCCATACCATAAAGAAAACAATATAGCCCCCTAATTACCCATTTAAACAGATTAATGAAGATAACACCTTACTCGAATTCAGTGATAAAAAAAAAAGTAAAATCAGTATTTTAATGGTTTGGGGTTTTTAGTGTACTTAAAATTATTCTGGTAGTGAGCCTACCACTTTGTTTGCATTGGGATTACAGATTTTGCCTTTAAGAGGAAAACTAAAAGGAGAGGACATGGTTTCTTTCTTTAGTTTTTCTGTATAACCTGCAAGATGATCCACTTTGTAGGCCCACTGTGATATCATGAAGACATTCTGGCTCAGTACCTCCTCATTAACATAACTATAATATACTTTATAAGGAATCATCAAACAATGGTGGAGACACCACTGAATAGAAGCAATGGATAATTACACTCTAAATACCGGAAAGTGCTTATGGAGTGTCCTAAATCAACGTGTGTTTGTTTTATTTATTTTACAGGTAAATCATTACTGCAATTTCACTGTCAGACATTGAACCACAAGACAAACCAATTGTTAGTCTATCCTAAAACCGGGAGTACCTTGGCTATCATTTTGGGAGTCTCTCTCTCTGAGTAGGTGTAGAAGGAATCTTCTCTTAGATGGGTTTTTCTGGCAGTGCTGACGGCATGTCTAGTAGTACGGCTCAGGGTGATGGAGGTGTGTCCTGAAGAATGTAAGGCCTCTTCCTGCTGCAAACTCTTGGCACAAATATCATCCAGCACCACTTTGACACAATGTGCCATGTGAGGGACCAGCCCCCGAAATGCTGACCTCCAATCAAACTCCAAAACCTGCGCCTGCAAAATAGGAGATGAGTCAACAGCCAATTAATGTCTGAATGCTGACGGGAATATTTCACCTGTTGCACGTCACTGCTGCAAAGGCAAACTGTTGCCTTTTTGTAATTATAGAAAAATATTATAAGCCTGAATGACACTTAATAGTTTTAATAGAATATCATTACTCCTCACAGGCTCTCTCAGACACAAATCCTCACCTCTGGTGTGTGGCGTGCTTCTGCTGTGGATTTCTTGCTGTCTGTTGTCACGTCTGAATCCTCACGACTCTTTTTCAAGATGCCTAAATGACAAATAATGCGTACATCATGTAATACATATCTTAAAAGATATTAAACAGTAACTGTGCCTGGTCAAACTCTCAAATCATGTAAGTGCAATGTCCCCAGGGACCAACAATAATTCCAGTTCAGAAATGAAAAGCTATGGGGTGGTACATCTTTCAAATCTATGCATTATTTAACATTAATATTTCCACATCACTCATAATATACTGTATCATATCATGTGTTAAAAGTCTGACTGTATGCCAAGTGCGGTGACTTGAAAGCAACTGTATATAGCTCAAAGCCAGATATGGGTCACATTGCTCTCATCTTTCCCCTACTAGCCAAAATGAGACACAGTGGCCGGAGTATAACTGTATACGCCTCAGAGGGAGCAGAAAAAGGCAGTAAATGCTAATGGAAATGGCTTTACGAGTCTAAATTTGGGGCTTAGATTTGATTTGAACCCAGATAGCATCAAACACATATGGGGTAATTCCATGAGGGAAGACTATGTGGATGGTGTGGGGGGGTGACGTGAAGACAAGCGTACAGGATGTTGGGTTGGGTTGCAATTAAAAAGCGTGAACATCAAGGCCACAGTTCCCTAATCAGAAGGCGAAGAGTGAGACCCCAGGCGAGGCAATTTAGCCGAACAAGACCGCATGGAATGGAAGAAGGAGGAAGCAGCAAGCGCATCACTTTTTGACCTTTAAGCCCATCTGATGAATTTCTGGTAATTAAGCCGTTTGATTGCCTGGAATTAATGATTTGGATAACTGCCCTTTAAAGGCTGTTTACCTCTCTGTAAATTGAGCCTTTCTGCAAGTCTTGTTTTTGTAAATGTAACCTTTATGGAAATTACTCCATGCACCAAAAGCTTTCATTTAGCATCTCTGCAGCGGCAGTTCAAAGGGGAGAGAGGAAAATGATACTAAAGGCTTATATAACACCCAAGATAATTCCCTACTAAAATAACATTTCTTCAGACACAACCGCTAGAACATGTAACAATGTGTGCATGTGTGTATGTGGGGGTGTAACTGGACTGTTTATGCCTGGAGGAGTGGCACACATGTAGGGATGTAGCCAGAGTTTTTAAAAAATACTGAGGTCATGAATACAACTCTAATTATTTAGTGAGAGTATTCATATTTTATTTATTCATTATTTGTTTGATCATTTTCAGTAAATTCTCATTGTCTAATTGATGGTTGAAATGCTGCTCCACACTTCCAGGCAAAAACTCTTGCGAGGAAACACTGAATATATTTTAATATTTTTTTGCCTAAAAATTGTGAATTTTAAGCATATCTGATCTAAAGAATATTGAATCAGTCTTTATTTTTTAAATTGTAAAATGTAAACTGTACTCCAGGTTACTTCCCAAAGTACCAAAAAAAGTAAAGACAACATGAACTCAGTGATCTCAGGGGTAGCTACAGTCCTGATTACACATCTAATATATACATCTGTGTATTTTGAGAGGATAGCGTCATACCTTTTACAAAAGGAGTCTCTCCTGTACAATCAATGAAGGTCATATTAGTGACCAACTCCTTCACAGTCCCCTCAAACCCCAGCAGGGTGCAGGCCAGCTGGGTTAACGCCCTCAGCTGGTGGGAGGTCAAATTGAAGCTCCTATTTTTCATGGGAAGCTCCAATGGCGCTGTGAAGAGGGAAAAAAGAATTTAGAAGAGGAAAAATAAACAGTGCATATGTTTATGAATGTATGACTGACAGAGAGATAGAGGAGTCAGAGCTGCAGTTTACAGTTCAGCAAAGCAAAAAACAATTTCATGAAAATAGGTTTTCAACCAAACCTCCCAAACCTACATGCACTCAACAGAACCACCCCCCACCACCACCACCACAACCCCACCTCCTTTTTCAAGTCTTGCCTTGCACGGCACCTCTTTTATAAATATCGACCCATTCATGTTTTCCCAATACACAGCATAAACAAAGAGACAGTGAAAAATATGCAAAACTTTGCTCCCCAAGAAGTCACACATGCACATCCTTCTCTCTCGGCACAAAACTTTTCTCCCCCTAACCCGCCGATGACCCCCTCGGCAAATATGGATTTCCCATTTTGGAGGCTGCCAAAGCCATCACCCGGGGGATGTTCCGCATTAAGCTGGAGAATGGGCGGCTGGGAGATGCGTTGCCATACTCCCAGACACATGCACAAATACTTTTGTGTGTCCGCTTAAATGAGCTCCTCCACTGCAAAGGCATTTGGGAATGGATGAGCTCAGTATTAGCCTTGACTCTGAAAGAACGGAGATGATTGAGCGTTGAGAAGAGAAGGAATAAGAGGGGGGGCCTTTTCCAATAATTGTAACATTATTGCCTCTGGATCCTAATGTAATTTTGCTATATTGTTAAACAAAATCTGACAATATGACAACACACTGTCCCCAAGGATGCCTGGTTTAATCATGCATGAGGTTTGACTCTCTGTGTGTAGACGTGTGTATATTTATGTGAGTGTTTATGAGTGAGAGTCAATGAGTTGCGGGTTTGTGTCTGTCGGGTGTGTACATGTGTGTTTATGTGCATGTAATGTTGGCCATTATGAATAACTTGATTTGTAGAAGACACTTTCACACACATTTGCACATGTCAGTCTTGCAGGATAATTGCCACCCTGCACCCACACTATGTGGTCACCATGGAATATATTCTGACCTCAAGTTTGTTTGTGTTTACAAGTCCAAGTGTATATATGTATGTATGTGCAAGTATGTGTGCATGCGTGTATGAAATCACATGTGAATAGCTGTGTAATTATTTGGTGTGTGTTCGACTTGCGTGTGCATGCATTTGTGTGTATGTGTAATTAAGCTGCATGGGTCCGCAGCTCGGCAGCTCCTCTGTAATGGGTTCCAGTGGGAGTCTGTGCTAGAGAGACTACCTCGTACTGCATGTGTACATGCGTGACCTGGCTGACACCCACGTGCCAGCCTCGTTCTCCAGCTTGCACATTCACACACGCACCAACAATCATGTCTATTTCTGAAGTCACCAGCAAATCAACAGAGCTTTCCGTGCCTCAATGCAGGGGCAAACTAAAGCTGTCAACAACTCAAGAGTAAACAATCTAAACCAGATAAGACAGCGACACATTTGAGAGAGAATCGCTAAAAAGCTTTCTCTACAACCACCTCCTCCCCATCCCACCCTCTGTTGGGCATTCATCTGAACATAGCACCCATTAACCACCTCTTCATCTGGAGCATCACCTTTTTCAGAGCATCATCTCTGTCTCTCTCATTCCTAACCATTCATTCCCTCAACATGTGACCCTATAACTGTTTCACTTGCTCACTAAGTCACACTCTAAGTAGTCAAACATGACCTTGATGTTTAGCAATGCTCTGCCTCTGCCTCTCATCGAGCTCTGCCACCCAGGCTATATAGGTATTTATAGTCGTCTCCCTAGCCAAATAGCCCTATAGCCATAGCAGTCTAGTACACAGCCATCTAAACCTCATTATACCTTTGTCACAACAGTGAGGCCAAATGGAGGCTCTCATAGCTGGTTGATGGAGAGGGTGTGCTTAAAAGCACCCAGGTGTGTCATATAGCATAGTGCATAGCATGTCTCATAGAGTAGAATGTGGAAGGGCACTAGCAGGCAGAAGAGTTCAACCAAAGGTCAATGTACTGAGAATCAATAAGGGAGGACTGGTGCTGAAAGCGAGGAGAAAATTATATGTTTATATGAGAGCTCCTCCATATGACATTATAGTGTGGAGGATGTTCTTATAAACAAAAAGAAAATCAATGGTTAGCCATATTACAGTGATAACCATAAACGCAGTATGCATCCTATGAGAAGCCCTCAAAGCAAATAAGCATATGTCAAGCAATATGTCATCCAACAAAATGTGTGAAAAAACAGCGTGTGTGTGTGTGTGTGTGTGTGTGTGTGTGTGTGTGTTGTGTGTGTGTGTAGGTGGGGGGGTTCATATAAACCAGAAGGGAACATTGTAAAAAATTTCTGAAAATACCCAACTCTGTAAGTCTACAGTGGCCAGTTTCAGTTTGTAGCTTTTAACAATGACAACAATGTAACACAAAAGAAAAAAACAAACAGAGCAGGTATTTTTGGCGAGCCATCAGTCTTCTCCTTGTCTGTCTCTCCTGTGGGTTCCACCATCAGCTCCACAGCACACTCTCTCATACACACACACACACTGCTCTTGACTGGCAGGGAACAGAGAGAGAGGGGAGAGAGGAGGAGATCAAGGGGAAGGGAAAGGGGTGGTGGTTAGGGATGAAAACATGGGGAAGAGAGGGAGGGAAAGAGAGGGAGGGGCGGGATAAGGGAATTCCCTTAGCAGTTGTTATTGATTCCGGTGTTTACGGGCGAATAGTTTAGTGCCGTTTACAAAACAGAACAGATGCAGCCAGTGAGCAAAAAGGTAAACAATTGCTGTGTGGCGGGCTGCCAAATCCCCAGTCTGATGTATTAAACTCACGGTGAAGAGCATTTCCCCTTTGGCTGCACTTATTGCCACTTCATTTCCTCTTCGCTCACATACACACTCACTCCTTCTTGCCATCTCCCCCCTTCTCTGTGTCTCTCTTTCTCTCTCGTTCCCTCGTTTATCTGAGGGAGAAAAAAAGGGAGAAGGGCGTAGGGCCCCTTTTGCCGTCTGGCTATTTTCTGTCCTTCTCTGACCCAGGAGGCCCAGTTCTTCCAAACAGAGCCATTAGTAGGGGGAATTGCATGTGTCTGACATGGCCGAAAACCAATTATTAGACACTTTCTACCAAATGATGCCCAAGTCTTTGGGGAATGGGCAATCATGCAATAATTTAGCCACTGATTTAATTTCTCTCTAGCACAGCATATCTCCCTCTCTCATCCTCTGTCCCTCATTTTCCTCTCTTTCTCTCATTCTGTCTCTCTGTAGTGTAAATCAGAACATCAGAGGGGTGGTCTGCCTCTCTCTTACCACACTACCTGACTGGCCTTCAGTGTCTTATCATGTAATCACAATATGTGAAGATGAGCTTTCTGTAGATGTGTGTGTTGTGTTGTACACCACCCTCTACAGGTGATGTAAGCATTTGGTTTCATTAAATCCAGAGAGATAAGGAAGGAGGAATTTCAGAAGGCAAGGCAATTTCAGCCCGTCTTAAAAATCATCATTTGCTCTTTTCATATTCAATGCAGAATCCAAATTCGCTAAATAAATAAAAAGATTTGTTATTTCCTTATTCATTTATGAATCCAACACAAAAAACTAATAATGTCTTACTTTTCATGCTTTCCATTTTATGCTCTAGTCAAAAATAGGAAATGAAAAAACAGGCCATAGACCAAATTTGATTTTGATATTTTATGTGTTCAATTTGTATAACCAGGAAGTTAGGATAGTCTAACATTGCAGCACGTACACTTGGGTGATGGCGCTACCTGATTTAATGCAGTGAATATGAGCTTGCATATCAATAAGTATTTTGAAAAATGTTATATTAAAAGTTTTCACTTGTGTGAAAAATCAACATATAAAAGATGGACATTGTGTCTCCACTTTGCTTCACTTTGAAGGAACTGTCACATCATCCATCTTTTATGTATCAATAGTGCGAACAGACAAACATGGAAGTATAATGTTGCCATGGATACAGTGAGTTAAACTGTGGGCACCAACGTGAGCCCCATTTGTTCACATTTTGGAAGTTAACTTTTACTAGTTCATTTTTGCTGTGTATCATTGAATATACTGATGACTATCACTTAATTACTTTGATAATGGAGATAACTTAAAAACCGGAGGCAAGTTCTGAAGTATTCCCATTCCTGTCCAAATACATGCGTAGTAAGTTAGACTGTGCGCTGCAAATTGAGCCTTGTTTTTTATTTTCCAAAATACTTTGCTGAAAAAAACAAAACCTTTATGTTCAAGTTCATATTCATACATTAAAATTAAGTTTTCCATTTCCTATTTTTGACTTAATCATAAAATCCAAAGTATATATTATATTATAAAAAAGCTGTTACTGCATTTTTTGTGTTGGATTCACAAATGAATAATGAAATAACTAATTATTCTTTAATTTTTTGATTTTATATTGAATATAAAAATAATGAATGATCTTGATTGTGATTCTTAAACAATGGAAATGCAATCTGCTTTACATATTTCATACAAAATTTTAAAGTAATTAGTATCTCTTTTTTTTGTTAATTCTTGGAAATTGTATTCTGGACAAGTTGTGGTTGATTTGGAGCTTCTATACATAGGCCTGAAAAAACAGTTACAATAATCTAAATTCAGGTGGAAATAAAAGCATGGATCAGTTTTTTTGACATCTGGATGTGAATCCTCTGACCCAGTTTTTCAGATAATAAAAGACTAAGCGAAAAATGTATATCTGAGTCCAGGTTTCTGGCCTGGATGTTTCCAAAGACAGGGAATCAAGACACACACTAAGTGTCCACAATTTTGTGTGGTGAAAACAGTACTCTGTTTTGTCTTTATTTAGTTGAAGTCAATGCTGGCACATCCATGCAGAAACTGTAGGTTGATGGGACCATAGGCAAGAGAGTTATGTAAATTTGGGTACCACCTGCATAACATCAATGTCAGGCGGAAACCTTGTATGTCCAAAATACTTTTCAGGAAATTAACAAAAAAAAACAAAAAA